GAATATATAGTTAAGGTTGATACTTTGTATACGAGCTATATTTCTCTATATTTGTCTCAATTTTATTCTAGTAGAGGTATGGTAGGTTTGGGTGTAGAAGGGAAGGCTGTGATGTTGAATGATCGAGCGTTGTCGTGCACGCTAAAATGCTAGGTTGGTTATACTAACGTAACTTGCGATATATCTACGCCAAAAATAAGTCTTAGAGGGAGAAAAACTAAAAATCTGTGCAGTGCGCCTCCCCGGGGTATTCCGCCCGGGGGGTGTTGCTGCTGTCCTAGCCAACCTCAAAGTTTCGAACGTAATTGGAATGAGTAGAATTCAAACAATCCCGCCCCTAGAACCCAGAGAAAGAGTGGGAAGAGTCTAACGAGTTGGTCGCTACACACACTCGCTCCTACAATTTCTCGCACAGTGCCGAAGATACAGAACAAAAAAATACAAAAATCATGGAAACATCCGGTCCGTCACCAAAACCCAACGGTTAACCTGGCTATGGTTCGAGCTGTCAGACTGAGAGAGTAAAAGCGCATGGATGGTGCCAGAAGCGGCGGATTTGGTTCAATTACGATTCGACACCAGATCGAGCTCTGTCTATACGAGATGAATATGGGTTTGCCCCGTATTTAGTCGATCGAGCACTCACTTCTGTCAAAAGCCGTGGGATAGTGAGACGATAATCCTCATCAATGATCTGGAGTCGGGTTAGCCTCTCTGACTCTAATTCGTTCGGGGTATTACGGGGGGGATGATATCTCACTTCGAGGTCGTAATTGTTCGGAAACAGTTTAGTCAGAAGCTCCAGGAGCTTATTCTTCCTGACATAGCGGATAGCAAGGAGTTGGCTCTCTTTTTTGTCGCCCATCCTGAGAGATTTGATTCTGCTGAGTGAGACCAAATTTCCTCTGTTTTCAGGCTTTTAGCGCGAGACCACGATATTTAAACCTCCCCCTGAAGACGGAAGGATAGAGGTAAAACAATAAATGCAGGCTTTTGGTACATGCGATCTGACCCCGCTCCCCGCACTCCCCCGAATATGGCAGAACACAGGCCAACCCCGCTCCCAAATGGACTATCCTGGAAGGGCCAGTGGGTGCCATGCCGGGGCAGTTGATTGTAAACGGACAGCACAATCCGGAGCCGCGAAACAGTTTTCCCTGCATAAGATACGTGTCCGAGAGTTGTGCCTCTACTCGGGGGCGAGTTAATCCGCAAAGACCTATTTTACCATTGGCCAAACTACCACGGATACCACTTCTAGCAAATCAAAAAAAGCAGTGGGTTCACAGAATTTCTTCGCCCTACAATCAATAGGTTTAGCCTCCTCCTAGAAGCGGCCATTCATCAAGAATCTTTAAGCAGCTTTCGAGTAGTGTCCGGGTCTTCGCACAGGATATCTTTGAGACCAACATTCCCGTATCATGTGAATGAAGACGATACGAAAAGGCGGTTTTCTTACCCACCCGTGCCTTCCGTGTAAGCTACTGAACCTACACTGTTGGCTACGGAATTCGGTGGGAGCTCCGATCTGTGCTGTGGGGTGAATTCCTTCTTTTTTTGACCCCGGTTGGCCATGAGGGCCGCGATCTCCCGCCCAGTTTTTTCAAGCGGATCAAGTCCTTTCATGGAGATATGCATGCCCACAAGGCTGCCGTACTCGGCTCAAGGAAAGGACCAATATATCACACCGATTGCAGTTTCAGCGAGGCAGTGAATTGGGGTGTATGTTCGCTGCGGTGAGGAGGACATCTCTTACGTCGGGGCAGCACCGGAGTGTGATATTACACGCTCCAACGGTTTTATATAAGAAAGGGTAAATTGATAAAGATGAGCTAGGACGAAAGATGACTCTGTACTGTACAGTGCAGTACCGGTACCGGTGCTTGCAGCGCGCATTCAAGTTTCCCTTTTTTCTCCTTTGATTAACCCTTAAGAGTGCATGGCATGGTCCGATCCGCTCTCGCACTTGGTACCATTCCGTGCGCACTTTTCTTGGCGTAAGATGTGCTTGGGGATATGTAGGACGCTGCGCTCGTACAATGTTCATGCGTGGGAAAGTGGCAGTACGGTGCGGGGGTGCGGGGGTGCGGGGGTGTTGATGTTGATTTCTGTCAAATTCGTGATTCGTAGTAAGATAACCAGCCCATCGGGAACATATTCCCTCTATTGCCAAATGCGCTCTTGGAGGGAGGTATCTCTTTGATAAAAGCACTGAATGGGAGACTGGGCAACGATCCATCTGTCATCACAATCGTTCAAAGTTGGCTGAGCCAAGAGGAAATAGAGGTCCTCCCTGGGAGATTGCCTATAGAATGTACAGTACGGTACCGCCGCTACTTAGATTACGGTATCGGACTTGAGCCGCCGCATCGAAGCATTTTCTGTTGTCCTGTGTACGGTGGCCTACGGTGCGGGTGCACTTGCGGAAGTGGATCGCCAAATTATATTGAGCAGAGCACAAGGTCAAAGTGTGTCGTCCATCTGGCCTTCACACCGGAAGCCTCCAATCCTGTCGCCCACTCGGATAAGATAAGTGATTATGGGTATCTGCTGAAATCCTATCCCAAAATGTGTCAAACTGAGACAAGATGCAAGACCCTGCAGAACGCTTAACGAACGATAACTATGGGGGTGGGTGCGCACAATGTACTCGTGCGGGGATCATAATTCAATCCCCGTTTGATATCATCATATTATGATAGAAACAGGAAGGTGTGGCGAGTGGGAAATGGACTGGGAAAAACAAACCTGCCCCACCTCAAGGCCCCAACAGGGCCCTGTTTTAGGTGAGGCAAGAAGCGGATAAGGAAAAGAGACGAGACTCACAACAGGGCGAGGTGCTTCTACGAACACTTGTCCCACCCCACCGCACATGTAACCCACCCTCCTCAGCCCATACGGGGGTTAACTCTGCACCTCCCGGGCTCCCGTACCGAATTCTCAGTGAATCACAAGATCCAATCCATTCCACCTGCAGCCAGCTCAGCCTGGCTAGAAATGACTCTTACTGCCCGCGCTTAACACTGCCCAAGGGATAGACCTGCTACGCGTTACACGAGTCGAGGCAGCCGAAGATAGTGCCTTGGTAAGGAGTGGTCCCTGAGACTAGCCGATGAGGGCCAATGATCGACCAACTTACGGGCGCCATGGTGCTCAGGGTAGAGAAAGTTACTGGTGCAAGTACCGGTACTGTAGAATACTGGAATGATATTAAGTTTCGGGAAGAAAGCGGAACGGCTGATGCACTTAGGGCAACTCGGAAGGCAAACAGGGTCGCAAAAACTCCGGATACCGTACCCTCCTCGGCTGCAACAGGTAGGGCTGCTCGAAAGCCCCAGTCGCGTGAAGAAAATTGTGGGACAACGGGTCTTGTCACTCCCGGAAATTTTCACAACACCGAACATATTATAATATAAGAAAAACATAGGGCTGCCAGAACCAAAGAGAAAGAAAGCAAATAAGAATACAGTTAAGGACTACAAACTACCAATGAGTAGGACCCCAATGGTTCCTTAGTAGAGCAGTGATCCATCCTGGCATTCCATCTATCCACCGATAGATCCTACCCCACGGCAACTCCATCCAGATCTTTTGTGCCAATTGAATAACTTCATCTTGACCATAGGGGCGGCAAGCATGATCCGGAAATGCCTTCCTAACCCTCGCTTTCCATAGCGCCCAAACATTCTCGATAGGATTCATGTCAGGTGAGTGGGGAGCCCAATCCATTCGTAGAATCCCATTCATGAAGCGAAAGGTTTGAGTATATCATGATGTGTGATAAGGAGCACCGTCTTCAATAGTCTGAGATCCTTCTTCCATTCCTCCCATGCTCTCATAAAGTGGTAGGAGGTGAGGGACCATTATCTCATTCACATATTGAATAGAGTTCAAACCCAGTCGATCCTTCTCATCCACTCACTCTCTTTCTGTTCTCTTCTGGATTGGGACAAGCTGAGTATGCCCAGTTGCAGAAAAGGCGCCAAAGAACTGGATGGTAAGAGGATTATCAGGAAAGGTAGAAGCCAAATGCCGTTCTTCGTACTCAGTTCATGGCTTGCGTCGTACTGTCGGTCGTTTTGAACCCCTTCCAACCTGAAGGTAAACTTCATCAGTGTAAATATGCTGCTGCCACCACTCCTTTGGCTGTAAGTAGTGGTGGCACGCAAACTCCTTCCTCTTCTTTCTATTCTCAGGGGTGAGACAGGGCTTCTGCCTACAAACTCGTACCCACAGGTTCTCTGCGCGGAGGATATCCCCGATTAAGTGGTCAGAAACATTGAGTCATGATGCTGCTGCAATCTCGGAGACTGTTGCATGCGGTTCTTGCATGGAAAGTATCTTTATGAACCGGCGATCACTTTTCAACAGGTTTTTTGGTCGACCTGGGCGGGATGCTTCATGTATTTTCCTGTCAGTTTTGAAGCAACTGACTACTCGTTGGGCAGTTGACTTCGAAAGATCCAGTTCATTAGCGATTTCTCGATAGGTCTCGCCCTCTGCGTGCGATTTGATAATCTCAACCTTCTCTTTGGTATTCAAATGCTTCAATCTGGGCTTATTGGAGCGCGGCATTGTAGGGTGTGGTCACAATTCTATTTTTTTTTGCTTGTGATGTGCTTTTGTGCCGGGCTTGCCAAGACCCGTTGTCCCACAATTTTCTTCACGCGACTGGCCCGGACGAAGGAAAAAAAACCAAATTCATCACCAGCTCCTGCGCCAGTCATACTCGAGTACCGGTACCGGTACCCGAGCCGAGGTTCAGCGGTCCGCCGGTAGATGCATCTACGAGGACTGTACGAGTACTCGAGCACAGGAATCGAAATCAAGACCATGTCCGAGCAGACTATCCCGCCATCAAGGCCGAGCACAATCGGCACTAGGCAGCTACGCACCCCGACCTTTGGTTGCAGCCGAAGATCAACCACAACAAGGTGCACAACCCGCTTGGACCGGCTTTCCGGATTAACTTATTAGTGCAAGTGAGTCCCAAGGTGAGTGGGCACATGCAATGTCACCACGAAAACGGCAGACTCCGCACCAAGATCTTCTTCCTCTGGGCAAAATTCTCAAGAAAAAATACAAATCGCCCATAGAACCACTGAAAGCAACAATGACATATTTTTCTCTATACAAATTTCCATCCAATCCCTAACCCTTCCAGAGTAGAAATGCGGTTGAGCATTCAAATCCTGCCAAAACCCGGCTTTGCTGCCTGAAAATATCTTTCCTCGGTTCAGCTTTGAGGAAAGCCTTGTTGCCTATTGCTACCACGCTACAGAGAATTTAGATTCAGCTAAGGTTACAATTGAAGTCAGGTGGCCTACATCTTTCCTGAACGATCTATAAAATTATTCCATTTCCAATACAAGTATTCCTGCTGGAATCAACTCATAGAGTTGGCCGTTTTCAACGCGAACCACGTTGTGCCCACTCACTTTTTAGGTGCCGCTTGTACTCGAGTATTCTCTCAGCAGTTGTGGAGATGGTGCCAAGGAAAATATATAAAAGCACACCCAACAAGCAGCATCATTCCCTGAACCTCAGCCATCATCATCATAATAAAAAATAAAAAAATCACGTTATTTTCTCTAATATTTTTTTCAACCCCTTGGTTCTCTGTCCCGGATGGAGGGGAGGGGCTATGTTTCCGTAGCGTCTTCTGCTCCCTTTGCAGGAGAGGGAATTTTTGACTGCATTGCGCACCGTACAATTGTTCAAGTTTTTACTGTTTCATCCTTGTTGTCGATAAGTTAACGGACCTCCCCCTAGAGCAACTGTGCCCGATTCCCTCATTCGACAGCAGCGCGAAACTCGCCCTGCCGTACAGAGGGGATACAAGGCTGTTCAAATACTCGGGCGCTTGCGGTGTGCATGATAGTCAGTCTTACCTGCCGAGCCAGACGCATATCAAAGCCTCGCAGTTATGGTTCCCCCGCTCAGCACAGCCCTGCGCTCATACAGACTCGAACTCTCCAGAAAAATCATGGACTTATAACCCCCACTCCACTGACTCCACTGCGGTAATTGACCAGGCACCTAGGCCAAATCACACCTGCCATCACCGCATCCCCTTTCTCCTATCCTATCCGCATCGAAGAGAGCATAGTACGATCAGTGCCCCATCATGTCAACCAACTCCAAGACAGAAGAGCTGCGGCGCCAAATATTGAATCGACAACTGGTCGTCCTGAATGAGAGACGTTTCTTTCCCGATTACGCCTTGAAGCAAGTGGTTACTCGTGATGCGGTTACCGGAGTGATTATGGAGTCAGGCATCGAACGCCACGACCATACAACTGTTATTGACCGCATCCTCGGAGGCGCTCAGAAGATCTTTTGCATTTTGGTGTGCATCAGACACGTGAATTCTATCACGATTCTTCTCCGGTGCGGTATCCAAGATGCTAAACTCGCTTTGTCCAGGGAGGAGTTACAATCAGATTCAATTGGTTTGGAATCCCACTTGGCGGATGAGTTTTACCAGCAGCAGTGGTCTTTCATAGCGCCTATTTTCAAGAGTGGTGTTCAGAAACTACCCAAATCTTGTATCTTACCCTTTAAAGAGGAGCGAGTCTTAGCGGAGGGTGGCTGTGGGGCGCTCTTGAGGGTTGTTCTCTACCGTTCCCATCAGGAGCTAGTGTCTAGTGACCATGAATCTGGAGATACTGTAGGTCCCCATATCCAGAGACCACTACCCGTAACAAGCGCTAATCCCTACAAAGGTGGTTGTTGCACGCAAGAGGATAAAGCGCATTTCTGCTATATCTAGGCCAGAGAAAGATTTCGAAAATGAACGAGGGCCGCTTGAATTTCTGAGACAACTGGGTCACCCCCACATCATCGAGTTGCTCGGGTCATATCATCAGGAGGACGACTACAACTTCTTCTTCCCTTTGGCCGATGGCAGCCTTCAAGACCTTTTTGAGAAAGGGCATCAGCACTTCAAGATAGGTCCCGAAGGCTTTTACTCATCAATCGTTGGCCTGTCCTCGGCGATAAATCACATACACAATTTTACGTGCGAAAGTGGTGGAACGAACGATAACTACAAGGGCTATCATCGCGACCTCAAGCCTGGTAACATTCTTATCCAGCAAGGAAAATTAATTATATCCGACTTTGGACTCTCGAAGTTCAAGGAAGACGCCTTCCCTTCCTCCACCATCCACCGGTTTGGCACAGAAGCCTATCTTCCTCCGGAGGCCTGTGATTTGAGCCCGGAGTCAACATTTGAGGACCAAACGGTTGGACGAGGTGTCGATATTTGGGCCTTTGGTTGTATCCTTGCAGAGATAGCGACATACTTGCTCCTTAGACCCGAGGGGGTCGGCGAATTTCGCACAAAAAGGACGACAAGAGTTCATCCGAACGTGGTAGACAACTCGTTCCATGCCCATAATCAAGTAAAAGAGGAAGTCAATGAATGGCTAAAACACCTAGAGGAGCTAGCAGAAAGAGATTCTCAAATCTCACGTTTGGTGCAGCTCGCCAGGAAGACACTTATACCAGACCGCAAGGAGCGGCCAACAGCGCAGGTTGTCTTGGACGAGGTCTCGGCTCTCCATCCCGAGAATGCTGAATACATGAAATTGCTCGCCTGGAAGCAGCCACCAGGGCAAAAGCAGGAGGTGTCGCAGACCGATAAATGTAACTCTTCCCTATTGAAATATACGTGGTCCGCCCTAGCTAATGTACGAACTCGCATACAGATCAAGATGTCGACATGATACTGGGGCCAAGCCCCGACACACTACCCCCTGCACCCTCAGGATTACGGCCGCCTAGAGTGCCGAACAGGAGACCAGCGGCGCAATCATCATTCCTGTCAGAACCGTCACCAGTCCTGGGAGGGTCATCACTCCTGTCAGAGCCGTCACCAGTCCTGGGAGGGTCATCACTCCTGTCAGAACCGTCACCACTCCTGGGAGGGTCATCATTCATGTCAGAACAATCGCAATTATGGAAACGCAACCCCGGAAGCCACTGAGCCCCACTCCAACAACCCCACCATCATCACTAAGGTCTTCATCTCCACTATCACAACCTCAACCAAACCGGAGAGTGCGAAGTTATGCGGAATTTAGAGTGGACGAGTGTGGGATCTGGTGTATCGTGTGGATTACTCGTTGGGGGTCCGTAGGGCGGAGGGGGGGGATGTAGTTAGGTCGCAAATTCAACTTGACAGATTCAGCCTACTAGAGCACGCCCCTTCCAACGAGTAATCTCTTCCGTTTACTTTCTGGAACCGACACTGAGCCATGGCCTCCCAAAACTTGTGACTCACGAGTGAGATTTTGTAAACCTTGATCGAGTGCAAACACCTCAAACCCATACAGAGCGACATGTACTGGTAGCCGCGCCAACGTCCCTGCTCACATTATGTAACATCCGAGCAGTTTAGTGCTCAAACCACACGGCACAGTGCGGTACAAAGCACCTCAAGGGAGGTTCCCCTGTGCAACGCCGAATTTGCGGCGAGCAGTCCCGTTGGGGTTTCGCTCGGTTTGAGGTACCGGTCTGGGCTCATTTGCGGTGTAACGCTGTGCCCAGCCTAGCCCCGAAGGGGAAGGAGAACTCGAGTGAGCAAAGTACTGTATGTACCAGTTGTTGGAGCAGGTTACTGGAGGTTATCCTCATGAGCGTTAGGGTAATGGGTCAGAGCCAAGTGGAGTTCGGCAGTCATGTATTTCCCCCTTTACATAGCCCCTTCATATCTAGTAAAGACAGATCAGCTCTCTCTTTACAAGCCTCCATCCCTACAGGTTATGAGCCTCTGCATCTTCGACATGTGATACAGTTATTTGTCCAAAAATAAAGCCCATTTGATAGAAGGCTCCATGCCATTTGGTCTTCGGGTATTTATTTTCTTTACTGTATTGTCCTCCCTTTTTGATTTACAATCATGTTTCAGATACTAGGCTTTTAGCCACTTGGTCACTCTACGATTCCAATTTTGGCCCTTGGTATAGTTCTTGGTCAAAAGTCATCGTTGGTGGGCCTAAGTACCGCCCAAAACACACCAAAATCAATGGAGACTGGGGCTTGGGAAATCCTGATTTCCATCTCCACTTCTTAACCAATTAACTTTAAAATTTATTCATAGCTAGCCAAAGAACTAGTGGTTCTGAAATTCATATTTCTATAACAAATCTCTTTGTTCTGTGTGCAACACTCATCATCTAGAGTGACTAATTCAAAAACTGTGGATATGCGCCGAGAATTTGTGTGGCTCCCTACACAAAAAGGTACTTGTTTTTAAAATCACTAATTTCACACTGCTACAGTTTACACAATATTGCATCATATGTTTCAAGATTTTAGTATTGTGAATTCAATACTCAGAATCATTATTTCTACAAAAATTGATTTAATTGTACAGCAAGTAGTAGAGTGCCAATGCTGTAGAAAACCATACTTTTGGTGTAAGAGTAGCCATCTGTCATGAACTGTGACTAAGCAAGGCAGATTTCATATAGTTCAGGATTCTGAGCTATAGGTATGAGGGGATTTTACATGATACACTCTAGTGCATCATAGGTTATTATGTTTACCTGTTCATGACTCATAGTTGTAGGTTACACGATGTTATGATTTTCATACATGACTCAAATTATGAGTCATGGGTTTCACTTAGGTAATGTGAGTTGCGTACCTGATTTGGTTATTGAGTTATAATTAGTTTAAGGTATGTTGTGCAGCGACTTATAGGAGTCAGCTGAGGGATTTCACAGGACTCATAGTCATGAGTCACAAGGTTCATGTGACATGAGGTATGAGTCATGCTAGGTGAAGAGCGACTATATAAAGAGCTACTAGGACCCTGAGTATGAGCTCTTCACATGTTCTTTTAAGTTATTTCCTACACTTATTTTACCAATAAAAACCTACCTTTATGCTCTTTAAGATTTATCTTAAGAAACTTGAGAACTGTCTCTCTTCCCACGTTGAATGATTAAGTCCTATGTAAGGACTTAAAGAAGAATAAGGAAAATAGATGTAACTTGGATCAGATAGAAGTCAAGGGACTTGACTATCTACATTATATTGATAATGGTCTAAGAACTATTACCTTATTGTAATGTAAGAATCATTACCTGTCATACCCTCTCGCCTGGAAGGATTCTTAACATTTGGTAATCTAGAACATAAACAGAAACTTGTGGTGAATGGAAGTCTTTAGGTATACAAAGTCCTGATATTAGTTGTACCAAATTCAGAAACTAGAAATATGGCATCCGGAGTTCCCAATACTGAAGATAGTAGCTTCCATGGGAGTGCTATAATACAACAAGACCACATAGGATACACAGAAAGAAGAATAGAGATTGGAGAATCTAAGCAAGCATAGTATATAAATTGTAATATTGGCCAAGTCTTGATGTCTGAAAAACTGGTGCAGTAAACCTAATTAATGCCTACAACTAGTAGTAGGGAAATAAAATGTCATAATCTGCAAAGCTGATAGCAAGGCGAAATGCAGGGAAGGCGTCCCGATGCCTTGTAAATTAGGTATACTAAACCAGACTGGTAAATACAGGGTATGGAAACAGGGTGTGGTGATTTAGAGAACTGGCGACAAGATCAAAAATATCTATGGAGTCATGATCATGATGCTAGCAGATCAGGTGAGGTAAACCAGATGGGCAGATGCAGGGTAGGGAAACGGGGCACTGTGACCCAGAGAACTAACGACAAAGTAAAAAAATGTCTACTAGTACAGAGTCACAATGCCTGAGCTGGCAGACCAGGTAGGGGGAACTGGCCAGGTGGAAGCAGAATATCACGTTATAGTATTACCATCTGGAGATGAACAGAAATGCTAAAGGCATTAGAACAGGATGCAGATACATACTGGCATTGGAATAGAATAGTAGGATATAAGAGGTGGAAAAGGATGTAGTCAGAACCACTGGAGGATGGGAGCATTGCACATGATGGAAGATACCAGATGTTGAAATTCAGGATGAATAGGATTCAGGTGGCCATTGCAACATAGGACCAGATGTACAGGATGTAGGAGATGCTGGAGGGAAACCACCCAGTGGCTGAATATGGCACCTGTGTATTTGATGCAGGATTAATTTTCACCAATGTAATCCCAACCTTCCAACAATGTATTAGATGTCTACTCAGTAGCAATATTAGTGGAGTTACAGCCTGTTATGAGAGTAGTATTTACTCAGGCAAGGCTCTGGTCAAGTTGTAATAAAGTACTGACTTTGACGTCAGATTCCTCAGGCATTCCTAGGACCTGAGTACAGCAGCTGATACTTGATATCCTAGTTCTACTCAATGCATGGTTTTCAACGGTATATTGAATGTCTAACTGGCACCAATATTGGTAGATTTATTACTTGTGAGATAAGTAGTTTGGACTATATTTATAGCATAGAGTTGGGGAGGGGATTTATTTCTGTACTATATATTATAGAACCAATATGACTAGAAATATTCTTTATTTGGAAGGTTTCAGAATCTACATAATGTGACCCAGGTCACAAGGTCCAATCCAGGTATTATATTCTGTAAATCATAGTAGTACATACTTGCATTCTAAGAATAACCATAGCATTGGGTTGCATCCTACTTGTATCCTGAGTTCTGGTACCAAGGACTCTTGCATTCTATGTTTTGGTACCTACTGTCTTGCGTCCTGATCAATGGTTTGCATCCTGTACATTCTGTATATCAGACACAGGCTTTTATTTTTACTGATGTAGCTTATTATTGTAGAGTTCTTATATCTAAATACATTATTACCCTACCTTGTATCTGAAATATTTTCAGATAATTTCTTGAAAAGACTAGAATTGTTTATCATGCAAGTCTAATTGATAAGTACTTATTGGAATAGTTATTAAAAAACTTCAGAAGAATCTAAAAAGCTTTAAAATATGTTGTTAATACTTGGCAAAAATATTTCTAATGTACTCAGGCCCCTGTAGCCCTAATATATACTCTGCATGTCATATGTCAAAAAATATAAAGTTGCTATTATTCTAATTAGATAAACTCATTGGAGATTGATCTGTAATACTGTATATATTATTACCATCTCTCTGACCATATGCTACTTATAGGATATATATGAGGGACAAGACAAGAAAGTCAGGTAGCTTCTTTAAGTTGAATGAAGTAAAGTAGATCAAAACTGACAGAGTTGGTATAAGGTATTCAAAGAAGTTCTTGTTCAAATATGTATGGTATGGCACTATCTTAATAATTTGGTACGAAAATACAATGCAATAGAAAGAGTATATTGCAGGTATGCTAAGCAAGTGTAACGGACAGGGTCTGAGGGTCGGGTAGCCCAAGGCACACCACGATCAGGATAGGTAGGAATCCGGAGACGAGGTCTAGGTGCGGGGGTACAACCGAAGCGAGTTG